GTCCCGTTGTGCAATCATTACTTCCTCGCGGCTGTGTAACGTTGCATGCTTGCCGCTTTGTAACAATATCCGCTTGCCTTTGTGTAACATTTGACGATCTTGTTTCTGAGTAATGATCCGTTTTTGACGAAGTTGTGTGTACGACGGGATGATTGATGACGTGCGAATGTGGTCGCGTAATTGTCATGTTTTAGTAAGACAACGGTATATGACATGACATACTGCCATTGTATTGTAATTATGCAAAATGAAACATTAAGCCACTTGTCAGAATGCTTCGTGAGTGAAATGAGCGTGAGGATGAACATCGGATGCCTCATTCAAAGGCAGGTGGCCTCTCTTTGTTTATAAATAAACTGCGACAGTGTTTTCAAAACACTTGTGATCGAGTTCTGCGACTGGGACCGCGCCCCCTTGACAGCACTAGCACAGGTCTTTTGAATGACACCCAAACATTTGGTCATGCTGCGAATGTCTATTTGTTAGTACGCTTACGTAGCACTCCCTCAGCATTTAAATCATACTCAGCTGGGATATCTGCGCTTTAAAAAATTATGTCTACATGTCGCCCCTCTGCACCTACGCACGCTATCCGCCGGCGCACCTGCGGTGGTAAGAACTTATTTCTGAGAACTGTGCGCGAAAATACGGCGTGTTTCCACCACGAGGCTGGTGCTGAGCGTGTAAGCCCGGCTGTTCGACCCTCTCGGCTCCCAACGCCGGTTATCGCGATAATTGCTGGTCTGTCTCAGACGCTGTGCCGAATGGGACTGAAGTCATTTCTGACGAGCAGTCGTGGATGTATTCCAGCTAGCTGAGGGGCTTAAAACGATAAAGCGGCTGCTAACTTCGCGCGTTCCGCTCCTACCGAGTGGTATGATACCTCAAACGTGGAGCTGCGTGCTCTTGCAGGCGCTTCGTTTAGGGGTTATGGGACGGCGGTGTGCCTGCGGACAGCGCTGTCCGACGGATCCGTTCGCTCATTTCTGATGCAGGCAAGGAGCCGCGTCGCTCCGCTAAAAAAAGGTTGCCCCTCCCTCAGCGAGAGCTGCTGGTCGCACGGCTGGCGTCTGGTGTCATTTGTGCGTGAACCCTTTCGGCTGGGACCAGACGTTGAAGCTCACTGTTTGACATGCTCCATGACAGCTCTCGGTGCGGTCGGCGCCAGCCCCAGCGGTGGATGCAATTGGTCTGGAATCGAATGACGGAGATTCAGCGTCTGACGTGCCCGCCGGGGTGCACCGTCTTGGTACATTCAATCCTACTGGCCTGACAAACCGCGTGGTGTCAGGGGAGCGGCTGAAGAGCTCCAGCTGGTTCACAGGGTCACGGTGGCTGGTATCACGGGAAGGGCGCCCTGCCGAGAGAGAGAGAGAGAGAGAGAGAGAGAGAGAGAGAGAGAGAGAGAGAGAGAGAGAGAGAGAGAGAGAGAGAGAGAGAGAGAGAGAGAGAGAAGAGAGAGAGAGAGAGAGAGAGAGAGAGAGAAAGAAAGAAAGAAAGAAAGAAAGAAAGAGAGAGACCCAAATGTCCAGTTCAGCTCGTGCTGCTGCACCTGTGCTCGGTCTCAGCCGATGCGACAGGCTTTCTAAAGCCGTTCGTGTAAGTGGATGGATTGTTCGTTTCGTGAACAACGCTCGTAGCCCAAACTAGAGTGGCAGTGACGGTGATCTGTCGACCCTGGAAGAAATGGGCGTCTGGAAACAGCTGCTGCGTTTGACACAGCTTGAGGTAATTCATGAAGGCTTGAATATGCTTAGCCGGGGACGATAAGTCTCTGAGAGGCCACCTGAATGGAAGCTCTCTCCATTCTCGAATGATGAAGGCCTGTTGAGAGTGAGATGTAGGCTCCAATATTCCAGGCCTTCGGGTAGTGACCAACACCCCATCCTCTCCGCCCTTGTGACGGTCCTGCGGGGAGCTTTCCGAGTTGTAGGGCTCAGACATTTGGCTCGGTGTGTCACGCGACAGTGTGCAAGCTGCCAAAGACGGGACTCGAGCGCACGAGATGAGGGGTAGGCACCACTTCCCTCTGAGTGTCATTGAGTCACCGCCATTCACAGTGATAGTGTTGATTTTGCAGGGTCTGTCTTCTGCATCGATTTTTCGCGAACAAAGCTTTATTTTTGTTTGCTTTCGTGCGCGGTTACCCGTGTTGCATATTCGGAGGTGACAGAGTAGCTGCCTCTGGACGACTTCATGCTCGCCTTCAGGGAGTTCTGCGCGAGGCGATGAGTGCCTTCTCTCGTATTTGGAAGAAGCCACCACTTTTATGGGCGCGGACGCCCGGATGCAGCGAAACTCGGGCCATCTCGGTCCCGAGTGTAGCCATATGGCGCCGCAGTCCGCGTGGTGGGATGGCTGGTGGGACCCGTGGGTACGGTCGGTTGAGGTAGGCTTGCGGGAATCCCTGGGCACATGATGTCTTGTTCGGTGGGAACTTGTAAGCTGCTTGAACTGTTTGAACTTGTGAACTGTTTGAATTTGAGGCACACATCAACTCCCGGCTTCTTATCCTTGTCGGAGACGAGATCAATGACGCTCTTGGCACCTTGCCAGTTGCTGATGGGTCAAAACCAGGATTTCAGGCGAAGTTGGCTGAGGATTCAGAGTCGTTAAGTGCGCTGAGTATCTCAGAGTGGTGCAGAGTGCAGAGGTTCCATAATACCTGGTCTATTTGTTGAAAGAGTAACGACGCAACCTACCTCTTGCGGCAGAACCACCTCAAAGAACAGATCGCACTTGGCTGTCATAGTACTTGTCAGGGAGCAGGGTATTCCCCGCCTGAAGTAGCCTCCGTGGGGGGATTTTCAGAGGAGATGGTGTAAAAGGTCAGCAGAGGTGCACACATGTGAAGGACTGCGGACCCGAGCCATTCAACGACGTTATGACAGTTAAGTGTGTTCATCAAGGCCCGCCCAGTAAACATCTCAAAATACCGATTCGTTGAAACAGTTAATTTCTCCGAGGGTAGTATGTAGTTATGACATCAGAATCGTGTTTGGGTGATGAGATAGCGATGAGTGGTGTGCTTCAATGAAGGGGAGAGCAATGGGCATTGTCGTGATGTGCAAAGCGTGATCGGTAATCGGGGCAGACAAGCTTAAACGCCATAAAATTATCGCGTCCACAAAATGCGGATATGTTTCACAGTCTTAATAAAGATGATATGTGCCTGGGCGATTTTTGCAACGACTGCAAATACAGTGGTCATCAGTCATACTGATAAAATGACTCATTCTCTGGTACTCGCATAATCATGCCGCTCATTCCAATCAATAATAATGCCTGTGTTTGATGGCATTCAGCAGACAACTTAAAGTAATTCTGCCCTATGCTATCACAGATACTTAGATAAAAATGACGGCGTTCATCAGTCTCTAGGGAGCATAAAAATACTCCATGTACCTATGAACTATTTGCTGTCCGGGTTGTGCCCAGGAAAACGGTTGCTGCCGATACAGGATTAACAGAGATAAGGGTCTGAGAAAGAAATGCCAAAATTCAGAGCTTTAGGGGGGCGGAGGGGCGGGGGGAGGGGAGCAAGTTCCCGGGGCATCACCATGTCAAGTTTGCTCGTCTAGCTGTGAACATAATCAGATCCATATTCAGATTGACATACACGCGGGAGCAGACTTTTAAATGACCTGAAGCTTGGCACACTAAAGTGACACAACCTGATCACACTGCGTACACAAATTAAACTGTCTCGCAGCTGTCCGTAGACCATACTTTTTCTCCGATTGACGCAGTTCTAGCGGGTCTAGCATCATGCCATTTTAAGGGACTCCTTTCATTTTCGCCGACTCCCTTGATTTTCGCCGATTTTCGTGTGCAAATATATAAAGGACCTCATCAACACGATGAACAGAACAGATGGGGCCCGCGAGACCCATGACAGACCCATTACAGGTCAGAGTCGTGGAGTTGCCAACGCCGGAAGCCAATTGACGAGCGGTGCTCTGTCGACCGGAAGCCGGCCCGTATGGAGCCGGAAGTTGACGAGTGGTGCTCTGTCGAGTGGTCTCCCGTTGACGAAAGCCTGGATCCGCCCCCGGGCTAGTGGCAGAGGCAAATGCCCACACCTTTGCTCGCCCAATTCACGTTATGCGTATGGTATGTATAAAGAGGAGGATAAGTACCTTAGATGCGATGAAAACAGCGCCCACACCGTTAACCACTGACGGTGTGTTATTTTGACAAAGACCCATAAAAGCAACAGGGATCCTATCAAATGCATTAATCGCACTGAACATGCCAGTATTTACATGAAAGAAGAATTAGGGAAAAACAGCAGCAATGTATTCGGAATTTTGTGAGGAAAACTTCAAACTGGCTTCAATTTTACTCAGATTTGTTTGGTTTGTGTGAGGCTGTTCTTGTTACACTTAAATGAGCCAGTATTGCACTTGTAATTTCCAGCTTGACGATTCTGACTCATCTTAAAGAGAACGGGTAGGCAATTTTGTTTCATCAAAGCTGGATTCAGGGCCGTGGCTGAGGTAGTTTGCCACCACGCGTAACAAAGTACCTGCCTTTTGCTTGTGTGGGCTCGCTATCGGAAAGACAGGGGACCGGCCCATGGCTGACGGCGGCAGCAAACCTTCGCTGAGAGCAGGCTTTGGAACGTTGTAAGACTTGTGCGAATGTAAATAAAGGATTGCGTTTCCTGTAAATTGTGCTTTCACACTAATACGAGCCAGGCTCTGTCAGTTTCACTACCTCCGATGAATTGGTCTAGCTTTGGGAAACAAACTATGTTTGTGACAGTCCAGTCACCATGAATCGCGCTGGCATATTCGGAAAACCGCTCTTATAAGCGTGATTTGAATGCTTATCGCATGCCATCTGCATTGCAGCCGGTGCCTGTTTATGTAAACATGCACGTATTCGCCTTTCTCTATTTCTCTGACACCTGCCATAAAAGCCGAGAAATGATGGTACAACGCTTTTCGTCTAGGTGGCAGCACAAGCGTTCCATACCACAGTTTACAATCAATAGCCGCAACATGGCAGCGCCCACACCGCAGCGGTCAGAGTCTTGAACCCACTCCGCTGCTGGGTAACTCCCGCGTGCTGCGCCGTGCCTGACGAACTCCGGAGTGCCGCCCCCGGCTGTGGCCAGCTCGGGGCGCCACTCCCGCCGAACGTCTCGAAGTCAGACGCCCCAGCGTCGCGGCGATGTGACTGAGCTGGGTGGAGTGCTTCAGAGGCGAGCTCAGGTGAGAAGGGCATCGTGCGTGACCTATGTACCGGTACTGACACCGTCAAGAAGTGTCACTGGATGGTCGGCTGGTCGCTGTTACGAGCGCTGGCAAAAAGCTGCGCAGAGAGTGTCATGCACTCCTATGCAATTGCTGCTCAGGCCTCCATTCATTTTTAATTTTGCTACCGTGTGCACATTCCTATGCTCAAGGGTGCTGCGGTTCGGTGCGCCACAGCCCAGCTCGAGAACTCGGCCTTGTCAATGCTTTTTGTTACACCGTGCCACAACCTGGATTACGCCGAGACGATTCATCGATCAAACGTTATGAGGCCATAGCATTGACGGCTCCTGATGACAGTTGTAAACTGCAACCGGGCTGAACATACGCCTACGTACTGCGAGCACCGTCCATCAGTCTGCACGTGACTAACGCCAGCTTTCAGAAAAGGCTGCTGGTTGGTGGTTGAAGTACCGGCCGTCGCACCGCTGCCAGTGCTATCTATCATTGCTATCTAAGCTTGCTATCTATCTCTGCATCCATATCAATCATTGCTCTGTGCTATCATTACGTCATCTGTAAGAGGCGGGCAACGGCCACATGCAAACGGCACTCGAGGATCGGCGGCCACCTCCCGAACCGTGTTACCACGCGTAAAACAGCAATGCGCAAGCATCGATTTTTCCTTGTGACAGAAATAGAGACCGACACACAAATCAAGCTTCAGGGATTATGCGCGATCCTCATTCCACGCATGAGCGTCTCGCAGGAGTAGCGGCTCGTGTGGAATGTCTGAAGTATCATGCACGCTCAAGCGTGCATTTTCTCACACACACGCACGCACGCACGCACGCACGCACGTATGCATGTTTTTGACGAGCATGTCATAGATATGGATTAATTGCTTCGCGATCGTGACAGGACAAAACCTCGCGTCATATGTCTCCGGACGGAACGCTGCGCACGAGAACCTTCATGTCACAATTAGGCTGCACAAAACGTCGTACACAAAGCTTTGCGTAGCGAATTCCGCATGGTTATCGTTGTGCACAAATATACGGATCGGACCGATTCGGAGATTCGGATCGATTCGATTCGGATACGCGAGGCTTCGATCCACACTTCTTCACATACTCCGGAAATCGGATGTTTACAGCCACACAACCTATAACAGGGACGACCAATTGAGAAGCGTGAGTGAGCCAGCCGTTCTCAGCGAACTTTGGCAATTTTTGACGTTGCGTGCACAGAAGTGGGGAGAAGAAAGGCGCCCCACAACTTTGTAGGGCACTTACCACTATCGCATCGGACATTCTATACTGTAATTTACTGATATACCCAGTATATAAGCATAAGCGCGGGAACCAGCGTGTATATGAGAGAACTGGCGTGATGCTTGTCATGAAAGGAGCCAACGGTATGTAGCTTCAAGGCTAAACCTTTATGAAAACATTTTTGAGACATTTTCAACAACACCTGACCGTAACGTCACGATGTCGAAGCCCTTCCCCTCCCTCCCTCGTCATGCTTCCATTACACTCGATCGAAAGCACTCTCCTCCGTGCGTAATATAATTCATGAACGGTTCCTGCTTTGTTTGTCAAGTGCGCGATATGTCTGAAAATCTAATTCACGATTTTCTTTGGTGTACGTCTGTCTGTCCGTCCGTCCACTTTTTGTTTTGCTGGACGTGAAGCACAGACGGCTGCATGGATTCTCTTGTCATTTTGCACATGGACACAGGTTGATCCGCCGCGACGACCCTCGCCGTAAGTTTTTGCCCTGTAAGGAGGTTTAGTCGTTCATTGCGGTACGAAACATGCCTCAAACTGGTCAATGGGCTCCAAGCGCACCCGCAATGGCAACGTAATCACAAGCTGTTTTCACGTTGGCATTAGCAGACTTGGCCAGATTTGGAAACAATTGTGAAGTGCAGGAATAATGGGATAAGTAGGAGCGGGACCCATAGCTTGTCGCCAGGAATATCAAAACAGTCGATTTTTTCTCACAAGATGTGCATTTCATGGCCATGTACCACCTTTTTCACTTCACTTCTGCGCTTTGGTATGATTTGAAAACATGAAACCAAATCCACAAAGCATAACTTATTGGTACATGGTGACGAAAATAAACACTTCCTGAGTGAACTTTGTCATTTAAGCTGACGATGAATGGATTAATCTAAGGCGCAACAAGCCACCTGAATTCAACAGGTTATGTTACATTCAGACAGCAGGACGAGCAACAACAGCCAAATATCCGCTCGTTTACATGCGATCGGATGGGCAACGGCGTCTTATCTCTGTAACGGATAGCTTGGCTCCAGATAACTCCATGGAACTATAGTTTATTTTGTAAAGATGTCGTCATCAATTAATTCATTTCCAAGATAGTTTTACGAATATGCAACACATACTGAGCACGACACAGCATTAGAAGTTTGAAATTGTTTGAAATTGAAAAAACATAGTTTGAAATTGGCCAATTATCTTACCCGAGATGTGCAAATGTAAATAAAGGTTTAGCACTTTACGTTGATGACGAAAACGTGTCTATGTAAACCATAGGTTGGCGTCGCGATGGGTCGGCTGTGTGGTAACGGGGGTGCAGTTTACGTGGTGCAATGGTGTGGTAGCGGGGGTGCAGTTTATGTGATGCAGTGGAGCGGTTACTAGAGGCGTAGTCCATGTTAAGCAGCGGCGTGGTGAAGGGATGCAGTCTAAGTGACACAGCGGTGGGGTAAAGGAGTGCAGTCCATGTTGTGCAGCGATGTGGTGAAGGGATGCAGTCGATGTGATACAACGGTGTGGTGAGGTGGTGTAGTCCATGTGGTGCAGCGGCGTGATGAAGGGGTGCGGTCCAGTGGTTGATGCACATCCTTCCATTCCGAGTGTATCTGGAATTTTTCACGCTGCTTTTAGCAGCTGAAAGATCGTTTTGAATTAAAACTAAAGTTTTGAATAACCATGCCATCCGATGCAATGCTAAAAGGATTTCTGAGCTGTTCCTGGGATGCCAGACGACTAAGAATGTTCTCTCGAAGTTTTGACGAAAACTTGCGTTCTTGAGGCCTATGGTTTAACTTGGCCTCATAAGCGGCTGCCGGCTGGGGAACCCTGCGTCTTTCTTCACTGGTCCCACCATTGAGATGGCGGGCTGGGGATCCCCGCCACTTTCCTCGCCGGGCCCGCCCGTGATGGGGCTGCCGGGCCTCGTGCCAGAGGTGGGCGCGCCCTGCCGCTGTTGTGATCGGCGTTTGTGGGCCAGTCAGCGAGCCAACCCGCCCAGCTGGGTCTTAGTCATCAAACGGATGTACTTGTGGACGTGTTTAACTCTCTCGTCCTTTAGTTTAGGGTTCACAGTTTTGTGTCACCTTTTGGCGGGAAACTGTCGCCTTTTAACTAAGACCCGTTCTTTTACGTTTATAATGTCAGCAAGAACCTCAATGCATTGCTGAGGAAGTGGGAGCAACGCTACGACCTGCCTGCTTTTGAAAGGGTGATTGAAGGTACGTTTTCGCGTCTAAGCACAAATACCTGCTGGGGCGATCTCTCCGAACTGACTTTATCCGATGATCTTAACCCGCCCTGGTGCCGGCCGGCCTCAGTCTCAGCCCGCGCGGCTAGGGACTTCACCGCCGCCCTAGGTGCCGACCGGCCTCAGTCCCAGCCCGCGCGGCTGGGGACGCCGCCTCCGCCCTAGTGCCGGCCGGCCCCAGTCAGCTCCGCCCTCGCAGCTATCAGGGCTTAGCTCCAAATGGTGCCGGGAGGAGAGTGCCGGACGACCTGAACAGCCCCGCGGCGCATTTCGCGACGGTGGATGGATTTCGATGTTTATTTGATGGGTTAATTTTGCCGTAACGGGCTGGCTCAAATCAATGGCCGGGCTGGGCCGAACGCCGAGCCCGCAGGACGCGGCGTGACGTTAAGCCATGACGCGTGTGATCCGCGACTCAGCCGCCGCGCATCCCGACGTCTGAGCTGGTCATCAATCCTCCCAATGACCTGGCCTGACACGGCTCCTGCATCCCGCCCGGTCGCTGGCCTATTTCGATTGTGTCTGCCGTCTAAAAGAAGGCGTTGGAACGAATAGCCTCGTGCAGGCTGTGGTTGGGATGTGACGCGGTGTGGGGTGTGGTCAGGCGGGACTACTCCGTGGTCGAGGAGACTCTTCTGGAATGATAGTTAACTCACTGCTGCTGTTGCCAGTTTTGATTATGGTTAATTTTTCATGGATAACAAATGCAATAATGACTCTCAGGCGAATTGCTGTTGATTTGTATTTTAGGGCGTCAATACCCTCTCATGAAAAGCTTAACATATCGGGAGAAATAAGGTAATCCAAAACATAAAAATCCGTTTCACGCCACTGTTCTTAAGATGTTGAGAGAACCACATGTGTCTGAAGACAATAATCGGTCTGCGTTACGCCAACGCCTCCTCATCAACATATAGGGAATCAAAGGCATTACGTTGAAACCGCTCAACCGTTTCGGCCTACGATCTTAGTAAGTAGGTAATCGTTGCTTTCAGCCGTGGCTCAATTAGCTGACATGGTCTATAACACTAATAGCCGTTTCACAGTGGATTAATGCGCTGAAAAGTTGTATGATGGGTTTTAAGATGTTTCAAAGAAGTTTTAGCACGTACTAAACTCTCTGACCAGAAAATGATCGTTTTCATGTTATTTCACTGGCATGAAATTTACATGTATTTTGTAATCCAGTTTCTAAAATAACTACATATTGTTGTAACTAAAAACTCATCAATTTCATTGACAGACCAAGTCGCATCTTTTTCACTAGTAATAGGTTTATTATCTTAAACACGACTCTTCCTAGACATTTTTATTTCATGCCTTTAGTTCACCTAAAATCTAGGAGAATATCACGCCTGGCAATCAGCTGTGTGCATCGGTCCAGGGCATTGAATACCGAGTGCGTTGTCATAGAGACATGACTCATAAATACGTCAGGCCAACAAAGAGCCACAAGGGCCCATCGAGGTTGGCCTACTTCA